TTGTACAGCAGTATACACTGTACTGGAATGTAGGTAAAAGTGGAACCTGAAAAAAATGACCCCAAACGACAGGAGGTACACCTACTGTATTATAGAGGGTATTACATACTCACACCTTCTGCACATAAGGCACAGATATGATTTTTTGATTTTTCTAGTTTAAAAAAAAATAAAAACATCATTTAGCATTTTACCTCAGCCTCAATTTGTTTTTATTTTGTTCTAAATTTTTAAGCAATTTCAGCCTCAGTATTCTTATAAAGAAAATGTATTGGTTGTAATACACATTTACTCACGCTCACGTGAATGCTACTACAGCTACATTTTGTCATTGTCATGTAATTGTTCTTGTCAGTTCATTGTCGCTGTCATTATATTGTCCGGTCATTGTCATTCAAAAATGTCATTGTCAGACGAAATCCACATCTAGGCCAATTTGTAATTATTTTATATTTTTCTTTTTTGGCATGGTTGGAATTTTGTTTTCTTCTGGATTTTTTAATTTTATTTCTAGCTTTTAGAGGTTTCACGACATTAGGCGCTCTATATAAATCCAGGGTATTATTATTAGGCCTATTTAATAGGATTGATCATGGAAATGCAGAGTATGAAAATGTTAAATCAACCTCATCAATCAATTTCTCATTAATACTTAATTCAACAAGAATACATTTTGCGTTATTTTATAATCCTTTCTTTTAGAGAGAGTAAGAGTGCATTCTCGAATATCCTTCAACTTTTGATTTATAAATATTCCGCTCAGGCTTTGTAAGACAGTTAAATATTGTAGAGGGCGCTACTGATAAAATTACAAATGACAGCATAATTTAACAATAAAAACTACATTTATTGTACAGTATTTGCATATTGTAGCATTTTTGGTAATTACTCTGTAAATATTTTTTATTCCTGATGATGAATTAATAAAGTCGAAACGTTGAGTAAATATGGCCTCACTTTCTCTATTTGGAGTCACTTTTGTTTTATTTTATATAAAAACTACAGTATGTGGGATCGCGCGAATTCCTATGATCATTTTGGAGAGGCCACTTTTAACCTCAGTGGCGGCGCGGCGGCGGGGGGGGCGGGGGGGGGGGGGGGACGGTGCGGAGAAATTTCCCCAAGAAAATTGTTTCCCCAAACCCAGAAAAGAAGAAAAACGACAGTTTCTCTGAGAGAAAAAAATTATATGTATTTTCTACATATTACAGTTATATTATTATAAGATCGATTAATGAAGCCTCTGAAACCCCTAAATTGTTATTTTTTCGGGGCTCCACCCCCTGGACCACTTCCAAAACATTTGAATTGACTCCAAACCAATCCCACTTTTCTCTCGTTGGGGACTCCCCCCCCCAAAAAAAAATCGTACCTTGCCCCGCCCCTTCCCCACGTATCTCCCACACTGGCACCGCCACTGTTTAACCTATTAGGTTTATTGAAAAAGTAAACATCTTGATATTAAACTATAAATGATGCTTCACCAAAGAAAAAAAAAAAAAAACATACAATAAGATTAAAGACCACTATATTGACTTCTCAATAGAAACACGGGATTTAATTCTTTAAACAGTATAAATTTATAAAGCTTCTTTTAAATACACTACCAACAAAAAAATAGAAGAGAATGTTTTGAATTTACTCTCTTCCAATCATATTCACCGGTAAAAATATTCTTGTGTTTTAAAGTTTACTTCTATGTACTACAGTACTGGCACTAAAAAATTAAGACTGAATTCATAGTGGTTTGTTCTGCATTGAAAGTAACACTATACTATTTATTAATGTCAATCATTGGCACTGAATGGTATGTATAAAGCTACTGAGGTTGTTGCTACATCTTCAGAGATGCTACAGACGCTATACTGTTCTTTTCTACAAATTCTAACATTGGCCAATGAACCTAAGTTATGGTTCCATCCTCTTACACAGACAACTAATATGCAACCAGCAATTTTCCACTTATATAAACTCTAACAAAATAAGTCATAAAAAACATGATCTAAATACATTTCTACTTAATATTTCCTTTTTTTCTTGACAAAAATTTTTTTTCCCCGAAAATCATCTTTAATCTAAAGAAATCAAATGCACATAGTTCATGTTAGAGGAAGATATGCAGGCAGTTACTAATAGAACAGATCAATGCCAACCAAAGACAACAAAATGCATAAATCGAAGCTGCAGATTTGTCAGTTTTTAAAGTAGAATTGGTATAGCACAAATGTGACAAGAAAGCCACAATGAAAATAAAAAATAGCACCTGATATATAAAGATTGAAACAAAATTTAATGAACCACTTTTTTCACCTGAATTCACTATTATAAACCTGTCTATCTCTTGTTTTTTGTGCCACACAAATCGATTAGCCATGTCAATGTAACAAAAAAACTCAATGGCTTTATTCAGACAAAAGCAGTTCTGAAACTCTCATACCGCAAGTAAACACTTCGGTACCAATTTCTAAACAATGTAAAGTTACAAATTACTAAAAAGAAGCACTTTATTTAAACTGTAACTCAATTACAACCCTAGTAATGTAGACAAGAAAATCAACACTAATTAAAACTAATTATTTTAAACTAGGAACTTGAAATGAGATTGGAGATGGGACTGAAAAGTTGTTTCATTTTTTATGCTTCATAAATTCATTCCCCTCATATGTAAACACTTTTCAACACATGTAGTAATCAATATATGTAGACACATGTTAACACATCCTGATGTTTGCTTACACATGTTATTATTAACGCATGTAAATGCATATAAAACACATGTAGACAAATGGTGACATTTATAGTGGCATGTAGATAAATGTTAATCCATGCAGACACTTGTTGACACATGTAGACACTTATAGACAAATGACCAGTTATAAATACTCAGTTTAAGATACTGGAACGTATATGGCCTGTTGTAATATATCCTTCCATTTTTTCTAAAAAATTTATCTTCATCTATTTACTCTTCTTCAGTCCCTTATTTCTTCCTTCCTTTGATTACAACCTAAAAACAACATACAAATGTCATCACTTTTCGAGTAATAAAACTGAAAATGAAATTCAACAATCATAATAAAAAGATTTATCAGTATCATAATATAAAAGGCTTGGCTTGAGCAATCATACATCTCATAATAAGGTACCATTTCTGCTCTACAACCAACTCTCCTATAAGACTCAATGACTTATGAAGAGCTGAGGATATCACCCTGGCTGCTGCTTAACCAAATTTAATCTTGTATTCAGATTTCTGTCTCTTTTATTCAAATCATAATCACTGCCAAGGCTGAATTATATGATATTTACAAAAAATAACACTTCATTAGTGGAGAGCTTATCATATAGAAAAATTGTTGCTCTACAAATCTCTTATATAGAAGAACAGGTCATTTGGGACACTTGCTTCTTATCTTATAAGATTTGATAATTTAATACATCTTGTTTGTGAGAAGAAATCAATATTTTTGTGATTGAGTGATTGAATACTACAGTAATTCACCATTAACAAGAACTCTACTTCTTCAAATTCTTCAATATTCAGATGGCTCACTTCTTAACATACAATCAAAATTGGCAACAATTTAAAGTACATAAAAAAAATCTTCAATTCTTATAGAAAAGTTAGGGTGTGTTTCTGCATATTAAATTTAATTTTAGAATAAATTGTATTATTAATAATAATAATAATAATGTGATGGATTTATATAGCGCAAACAAACAAGGTCTATGCGCTTGACAATAGGTAAGACGACAATTAAAAAAGCGGCTGTTATTTCTACTGTAACAGTAATATTGTACTGTTATTTTTACTTTTGTGGAAACACACCCCTAGATAAAAAACAAATAAAAATTACCTTGCGTTTGAATTTTGGACAGTAATTGGCGAAGTGGCCAAAGTCTTTGCAATTGTAACATTGAGTCTTAGCAGGGTTGAATGGGCGTGGTCGATCATTAGATCTGTATTGACTAAAATTCAAACACCTCAATGTTTTTAAAGCACATGACACTATTGCTAAATAGACTAGTCAAGTTCATGCAGTATGCCATGGCTAACTACGCATTTATTTCTTTCTATTGGTATTTTTAATATCCATGGGTCTTACTATAGACTCTTTGCTTAATAACTAATACAATATTTAAATAATAATAATTTAAATAATAGATAGGGAAAATTTCACAATATTCAACCCATTAAAAAATGAATAACATTCCTAAAAAACAACAGAAATATTCTTACCCAAATGTCTTGCCTCGAAATTTGCGTTCTCTTACTTTGTCATGAATACCATCAATATTATTGTTGTCTTTGTTCCCATTTGTTGTTTTTTCTGGAACTTCATTGGTAACCGGTGATGGCCATTTGTCCACTAAAGATACAAATTAAGGCAAGGTAATAAAACATACCATACCCCTTTTACAGTAGGTTTCACATGCTTTTTCACCCACTATCAAACCCCAAACTTCCGCCCCTATGGTCTTTAATTATTAAAAATAATCAGAAGTGTGGTAAAATTATAAATCACACATTCTTTTCCCAAAAAGTCCAAATATCCTGTCACAAAGTATTAACTTGTTTTAAGACATTTATTTACACAGACTCATACTTACACATACTGTATACACCTGCATTATGTATTTACACAGACTCATACTTACACATACTGTACACACCTGCATTATGTATTTACACAGACTCCTACTTACACATACTGTACACACCTGCATTATGTATTTACCTATGAGGCATTTAACATTGTTTTGTGTCTTAAGACTCAACTTTTAATTATATGTATTATTTATTATATGTATACTTCTAATTCTAATTATATATTTACCTGCATCCTCCGTTTCCTGAACAACATCATTCATGACCAGGTCAGGTGGTACCTCTTGGTAAGGTGTGGTAGCAGCAATGAACGGTATTACAGGGAAACCAATTGGCATGGTAGATGGTATTGTACCAATAATAGTGGTGCTAGGCTGTGGCTCGGAAAACAATAATGCCATTGGATTCTGTGCTGGTAAGATGGCTCCTAAATCTGCCATACTTGTGACTGGTGCACTGGAAATGGGTGCACCAGAGATGGTTATCCCTGTCATGGGAGCACTAATTACAGGTGCACAGGTATCCGATGATGATACCATAGTGGTTTCTGGCATCTGTGTATCAGAACGTGCAATATCAGCTCTTTGGTCTTTGGTTATTCCCTTGTTCATATCTGTTATGTGCACGTAAACACAATATTAACAATAATATATATTGTATTAATAATTACAAAAACTTTTCTGTTTTATATTGAAAACAGAGACATGCTTACTGCATAATATTGTAGTATGTGAAGGAGTAAATTACCAAGTTCAGAGGCCCAAATCCTAAAGTTCAAGTTGTTATCAGCAGCATTAGCAGTATTCAGCAGAAGTGTGACATAGATCAAACAGCCAGACACTCCCTCCTGGATGAGAAATGAGGAAAGATATTAGTAGATCTGGTTGAGTGGTCTAGTTCATCAAATTGGTTTAGTGGTAATAGATTAACAATCTTATTAGTAGTCACTATGTTCACCATCAAACTGTGACCATGTGATGTAAATCAGAAAATCAGAAGATCAGTAAGGGAACCCCCCCCCCCCGTCAGATTGGCTAAGACCCTGTTGGTCACGACTCACCATACCAACAACAATTTTCCCCCTTTTTTTGTTAATTCTTTGTGCATTATATTGGTAGACATCTAAAACTTACAACAGCCCAAAAAATTGTTCATTTTTATTAGGCAGCAAAGTGCATAGCACTCATAACCTCCACAGAGGCTTCACCCATGGACCCCTGCTTGAAATGCAAATGGTTGTCATATGATGAACACCTGTATACATAGAGTATAATTTGTTTATTGTATTATAATTGTTTGCAGCCACTTCAACTTCCCTCACATGAAAAGCAAGGTTACTTGAGTTAAAAGAAATGTACTGATGTGGTCTTGAGAAGACAAGCTAAACAAAGAACTTTGGAATTAGAAAATGAATAACAGAGAGACATAAGAGCTAAAAATCAGTTTTGCTAGAAGAGTTACTATCTTACTTACCACTTTAATCTTCAGCTTTTTCTCAAATGCTTCCTGAAGGAAAATCTGACGCGAATGCGAGCCAAATTCCCGGAAGTTAGGTCGAGAAATGCTACACTCTATCGCCTTTGAAATAAAAGAAAATTCATTAAAAGATACATAATAAAAGTTCAATAGGTAACCAGAGCCTTGCAGGCGTCAACGTTCCTATGCATGATACACGACTTTTAGAAGTATATATATATATGTATTTATATATATACATATATGTATATATATATATATATATATACACATATACGTATATATATATATTCATATATATACATATATATAAGTGTACATTATATATAAGTATATAAGAATATAAGTGTATATATATAAGTATATATATATATAGGCCTATATAAGTATATATGTAAGTATGTGTATATATGTATATATATATAAGTATGTATATATAAATATATAATACGTATATATAAGTATGTATATGTATATATATAATATATAAGTATGTATATATATTATAATGCATATATGTATGTATATATGTATATATATATGTATATATATATATGTATGTATATATATATAAGTATGTATATGTGTGTATATATATGTGTATATATGTAGATATATAAGTATGTATATATATAAGTATGTATATTATGTATATATATATATGTATAAATGTCTATATATTATGTATATATATATGTATATATTATGTGTGTATATATATAAGTATGTATATATGTATATGTGTGTATATATACATAAGTATGTATATATGTTATAATGCATATATGATATGTATGTATATATATATAATATATATATATACACATACATATATACATTATAACATATATACACGACTTTCAGAAGTATATATACGTGTATATATATATATGTATGTATATATATACATATATGTATATATATATACGTATATATATATATACACATATACGTATATATATATTCATATATATATAAGTCGTTGAAACAAAAAATTATGACAACAAGGCATGTAGACTGTAGAACACTTCATTTATTTTCGAAAAAGAAATTTTCGGCCAGTCCTCTGGCCTTCATCAGCTTTACTGAATGTATATACATATATATATATTTATACATATATATATATATATTATATATATATATACATACATATATATTGATATATATATATAAATATACGTATATATATATATACATATGTATGTATATATATATGTTTATGTGTGTGTATATATACTTATATATAAGTATATAAGAATATAAGTGTATATATATAAGTATATATATAGGCCTATATAAGTATATATGTAAGTATGTGTATATATGTATATATATAAGTATGTATATATAAATATATATACGTATATATAAGTACGTATATGTATATATATATAAGTATGTATATATATTATAATGCATATATGTATGTATATATATAGGCCTATATAAGTATATATGTAAGTATGTGTATATATGTATATATATAAGTATGTA